GCAAGCACAGTGGAGGAGTGCAAGCCAAAAAGCATGATCAATTGAACCCAAAATCATAACACAGAGGCGAAGCTTCGCTTCGCGAACACGACAAAAAAGCGGCTCTTTATAGTGCAAAAAGAAAAAGTAGAAACCAGCATCGAAGTAGTAAAAATGCGAGCACGTTTCGAATTCGAGCTACACCCTACTGCGACCTAAAGATTATCTGTCTCACGATTATAAATTTTCCAATGCTAGATCGCGATTATAGCAAAAGTGTCACCAAATAAGTGAACACTTTCCACTTTCAATGAAAACTTTTATTTGCGGGATAGGTTGGGAAAAAAGAAGGTTCGTACTCTTACACTAGCTGCTTGCTAGTGTAATGAATCAAACTCTCACAGGGGTGGAGGCACATAATTGGAGCTCCGCTGATTCTGATAAAGCTGCTGTTGCTGTTGCTGGGCTTGATATTGTTGTCTTGATTGATGCTGTTGCTTTTGTTGCTGCTGTTGGTAATGCTGAAAGGACTGTTGATGTTGCTGCTGTTCTGGTTGCCGTGACTGTCTTCCCCAGTTTGTACTCGGAGGCGGATTCCAGTCTCCGGAACCCGACACTCCTCCCATTGTCGGCTGCTGTTCCCTTCTCCCCATAGTTCCAGAGGAATATGTTTTGACTACAGGCGGTCCATGTCTATTGAGAGGGTTGTTGTCTTGATTGCGTTGATTCCCATATTCTTCGGGTTCCATGCCTTGAAGGCTCTGCTCAACCGGAACAAAAAATGAAAGTCCGTTATTTCCAACTCGGGTCTTCTGGGTATCAGCATTTCCAAATCCATTTGATGGCGCAGATAATGATCTTTTATGCGCCATTTAACAAACTGAGCAGTCCTAAAAACTCCTATTGTCTATGAATTTCATTTATATTGATCTCGTACTGAATGATCTTGACTATCCGCTAATGATTGTGTTAATTTAACTTAGGACTAGAAAAATATTCTGAAATGTATTATATACCACACGTGCGAATTGATCGATCATAAACCATTAACATGTCATAAATACTAAAAACCATCAGCATCCAGTATAACTTTAAGTATTCCTGGCTGTTTTCCACTCCCCCCAAAAAGTTTCAAAATTTCCATTTTTTCAGTATTCTTACGTGTCATTATGGCTGAAAACGTGATGTTACGATGTAGATATAAGGAAAATGTATTCACAATAGTTAGTTGGTTCAATATGCAAAATTTCAGGCTCTTTTCAACTTTCCCCTCACATTTCAAATTTTCCATTTTTTCTTTTCATTTTTTGGCTCTTTTTCTTTTTCCTCCCACCTGCAAAATTTCACTATTGAAATTTTGTTCTCGCTATCCGACGGTGGCTCTTTTCCAGTTTTTTTTCCTTTCAAAATACCGAATTTTATATTTGTTTTACGTGTTATTACGGCTAAATGCGTGATGTTACGCTGTAAAGTATGAAGAAAATTGAATTTGAAAGGGGGAAATTGGAAAAGAGCCCCGACGGTTACGAAAATTGGCAAATGAACTAATTAGGCCATGACAAACATGTTTGGTCTCCACGTCTAATATTGTAAAACCCCTCGTTACACCATAAAATTGATGATTATGTGAGGTGTGGGGAAAAGGAAAAAGAGCCATTTGTTTTACGCTTTATTATGGCTGAACGCGTGACGTTACTAAGTAAGATGTGAAGAACAAATGTGTTCACAATAGTTAGTTTGTTCACCATACAGAGTTTCATTACCTCATGACAACGTTAAAGTTGTTTTTAGAACTTGAAATTCAAATGCGGGGGGAGGGAGGGGTTGGAAAATAGCCAAATTTTATAACACTACCACGCATAATCACTTTTTCAAAACTAAAACGCAAATTTGGGGGAAGAAGAGTGAAAAAAAGAGCCCCAATCCCCACACTGCAGCCTAACACTGGTAACAACCCCGGTATTCACTACCTCCCATGTTTCTACACAGAAGCAATTCGATACTGAAAAAAATCAGCATTTTTAGGATGTTATAGTTTTTACGAGGATGTTTTTACAAAAATGATCCTAATTAGATAATCAACCCACATGCCAATTTTCATAACAACTTGACAACGTGAGCAGACGTTAAAAAAATTGCAGGCGCAAGGAAATGGTAGAGAATCCTAGCAGCAAGGTACTGGAAGGCAAGCTTCAACAAAACTAATCAACCGAACAAAAAAAAACAAAACATTTTCCTGGTATAAGCCGAAAAGTTTTGGTTAAACTAGTTCAATCTTCACACAGTTTAGATTTAAGTATTTAAAAGAGTTGCTAGGATGATACCGTGAACTATTCTAGGTACGTTCAACTAAAAATGAAAAAAAAATAAAAATGAAAATTAACTCAACAAGTTGTTCATTCGGAAATCGTTTCAAAACAAAAATGTTCAGCAGTAGCTCATTTCGATTAAAAAAAACACTTGACTGCAAGTCGTATTAAAACAATGTTACAAAGAAAAAGAGTAATGAACGCAAGTAAACATTAAAAAAGCAGACTTGGTTTAAAAATCTCAACTTTCGAATTTCAAAGAAAAAAATACATGCCCTCTTCAAGCTCTTTGAATTTCTAGAACAATTTATGATCGGCGCTTTTTTGATTACATGAGCCCATTTTGAGAAAACTGGATCAAGAGGTAAAATTTTTGTTCCGCTGGAAACCTAAAACTTAAATTCCACTTTCGAAACTAGAAATCGTTCACGTTTTCTCGCGCCATTTCCACATTCGTATTTGGAGAGTGCTTTGTACGTCACTTTCAGCAGACGAATTTCAATTGAACTCAAAAGTGCAAAAAAAAATCAGCAAGACCTATATAACTCTTCACTAAGTTCATTACTTTTAAAAAACTTTTTTGGATAAAGTTTGAAAAAGAATCTATTTCTTTGCTTCTAATCCGCCATTAAAATTGCCATACTTTTAAAATTTTATCTTAAAATAGTCGAAGAAGGTTTTCAAAACATGCTTGCAAGGTTTCAATAGACGCAATTGCATAGGAAAAATCAACGGAATCACATGAAAGAATTTGATCAGTCGAAAACTGAACCGATAGCTCCAGTCGAAAAATTGTGGAAGCCAAACAAATCGTAAAAACTTAATTGGTTCGAATAGAAATTTTCATAATACGATTGCAGAAACATGGATATGGAAAAATTGATATGATGTAAATTAACGATGCGAGCGTAAACCTAGAAAATCGCCCATAATTTTTATGCAAGTACAAAAATCAATTATTTATTCAAAAAAACCTGCAAATTTAAGTTTATAGCAAACAAAATGAACTTGGTAGCAAAATAGTAAAACAAAAGGCATAGTAAACTCAGATTAAATAATTACTTGCAAATTCGAGGAAAACATGAGATGAGAAAATTAGCAAAAAGTTGATGTTCTTCCAAAATGTAGGTACATTTATTTGCTGCTGGTTTCGCTAATTGCGTTCAGGGTGCGATTAGTTCTAGCTGGATTATTTAGGCAATACAGGCTAGACAAGATTAGCTAGATGTTGCCCATGCAGGACAGAAAATTTTGATCACAGTACTCATTGCTAAAAAATTGGAAAATGTCACTAAATAGATTTATCGAAAATAACCAACTTGTTTTGAAAAATATATATAATGACAAACAAAATGTAAAAAAGCTGCAACAAATTCCGAAAACACCTAAGCAGAAACCCTTTGAGCCAAAAAATTTAAGAGCTTAAAACCAATAAAAAGTTAACAAGTCCCCCACTCCCTCAAAAACACTTAAGCACAAAAAGTTTTTACTCTTGTCGAACAACGCAATAGGAGGCGATTGATGCAATATTTTGTAGGCTGAAACCTGTTAAGCCGGAAAAAAAATTGAAACTTTAACAAATTGAGATGGAATAAGTACAGTCAACAGAATTTTTTTCGCATGCAACGAATATGAAATTGTAACAAGCTCAAAATATTTTTTACAATGTTTTTAACAGAGCTGACCAGAAGATGAGTACAAGTGATGAGCCCTGTGACAAAGTTACTAAGGCGAAAAAGTCTAGTAACCGATGTGAACACACTTGCTACCGCAAGTGTAAATAACAGACCGACTGTTAATTTTAGTAAAATTTGTTCAACTCGGCAAATGATAATAAAAAAATCACTTTCACACATAGTAAAAAAACCAAGAGAACGCGGTTCAAACTCTAGGCATTAGGGTGCAAAGTCGTCCACATTACCTCAAGACCAAGTGTGAAGGAAAAGATCCTGAAATTTTTTTAGTTGAGAATGGAATAAAGTATAGCACCCGATTACAACTCAATTGCTTCCGCAAGTCATATGATACCACACTATACCCATTCACGAAAAATCGCTGAAGTATTTAACGGAGTTTAACTGAAGACAGGGGTATTTGATTGATGCTTAGAAACCACCATTTGAAAAACTGCACATTTTAATACTTAGAACAGCGTTCGTTAATGAAAATCGATCAAAATCCGATTCGTGCAAATTTAAGAAGTTTGGGTGATAATCTTTGAATATCAAATCCAAAAAAGATTATAAATTCCAAGACTGCTGATATCAGAGCAAAGCCCTGATTTTTCATTAACGTATCATTAACGATGCACTTTTTAGCAAACAAAAATGGAAAGTTGACAAACAATTGGATTCAAAAATTTAAACACATGATATGTCAATTCAAATTGATAGATTTTGAATCTAGTAGCGTATTGAAAAGACCAAATATTTTTCAGATACTTTTTTCTTCGAATCTGAAGTGAAAATATTGGAAAAAAAACTACAATCTCGTCAAGCTCTTTGAACTCCAGTTCTTTGAAAGTTCAGATGTATAGAAATTCAAAACAAGTGCTTAAAACACGGCAAAAATCTAGCGAACAATTGTAGTTATAGTTCGTGTATGTAAAAAAAGGCGCACGGCAGAAAACTAAAGCATAAATTGATTCGGCGAGAATAAGAAAACTCAGTTTGAGTTCTCCATAGAAAAAAAACGGAGACCAATAAAGTTAAATTTAAGTTATTGATATGAAACAAAAAAAAACAACATCGAAAACAGAGGAAAACTGTTTCAAATATAAGTCATATTTAAGTCTTGATTCTAATTTCAAAAGATTCTTCCTCGTCCTCCAATTCTTGATCAAAATCACCAGTCTTCGCAGCCTTCTGTGTTGTCTACAAATTGAGACATCGCTTTATTACTAAAATCGACCACTCTTATACCAGAACTCTGTCCACCCACAGCATATACGAATGGACTCTTGTAGCAACTGTCTACACAGGAGAGGTGTCCCATCTTCATGTTCTTGTCCTTGACACAGATGGGGATGTAATCTGTGAGGTTCCATAGTTTCAGATGGGAGTCCTCACTCACTGAGACTAGACACCCAGGGTAGAATCTGTCCTCGACTATTGCTGTGACACCTGTGAAAAAAAGATAATGAATATATCTGAAACAGTACATAATCCAGCCCTTTTAAATGAAACAACTACAAAAAATAAGCACCCAGTCATCAGAAGTCAAAAGTTTCTGAAGTCTTTTTGCGATTGAAGAACATGCCGAGAACTGCAGCCAATTCGTCTCGGGTTTCTTTTCCTTGTGTTATTTAGAGAAAAGTGGACTACTAGGTTAACTTATGTATTCCGCTGGCAATTTAGAAATTACCACGAAAATACCTTTCGTATCTTTACACGTTTTCTGTTCAATTGTAGAGTTTACTTTGCAGCTAACGAAAAAGAAATGCACTGAATTTAAAAAGAAATCTAAACTCAAAACAGTAATCAAATTTGAGCGTGAACTAATTTTATAACTTTTTCAGAAAAAATATGATCACGAACTATATACGAGTCTTCACCACGTTCATCGCCTCTTAGAAACGAAAATATACATATCGGAAATGGTAAATTTAGAATCACAGTAAAACTTTTTTTTTGAATATAAAGGGTTTTCAATAAGCAGACATGCTCAAAAAATGTCTGTTGGTTGATGAAAGAAAATTCAGACGAGTAAATTCAGAAGATGGGTTGTTTACCTAAAAAAATTCTACATCCTGATTTGATAACAATTACTAATACCAGATTCCTCACCGACGATCTTGAACAGACACTGAAACACCGCCACATGCATGCAGTCACCGAAGAGAGAGCCAACACAACAGAGTTTTGAAAACACCGACACCTGAACTTTCGAAAGACGAAGAAACGTTACAGTGGTTACAACAGAAGCATACTTTGTCAACTTAGGTCAGGTTTCTCCTGGAAACTAGCCGAAACCAGACAGAGAGTACAGCCGAACTTTGAAACAGAGCAGCAAGTGCAATATCGCATTGAAGACTGCCAACATCTTTTCAACTGTCCAGCCAATCCAATATCAGCTACTATCGCAGATTTGTGGAAGAACCCCCTATTAGTCGTGGAAGAACTCGCGGAAATTTTTTCCGAATAGTCAAAGGAGCAACAACAACATAACAATTGCTAGTCGCAAGATAAAAAATTAACAAACAAGCCGCGAAAAATCACACTTGAATTTGAGGAACTTTCAAAAACTTTCCTGAAAAGAACACTGAACAATTTTGAATCAAATTAGTCATTAAAAAATCTGGACAAGACAGACAACTGGATTATGGGATCCACCAACCGCCTGCCCCATTACTGCAAGTAGAAATTGTTTTAATAACAATAAATTAAATCTTCAAATAGCAACAAAAAATGTTATTTTTTTCCGAATGAATTTCCAACAACTACAATATATATAAATTTCATCAATTGACAAGCACGGACAAAAAAATCAAGTATCAATTATTTTCATAAACACACTAATCAGCTGCCACAATAATGTCATAATAAAAAATTCAAAAAAAAAAATTAATCACCCAATAAATCCAAGTTTGACACAGGCGAAGCTGTGCTTCGGAAACACTTACAAGAACACGACCAAAAAGCAGCTCTATCAAGTAAAATAAGAAGTAGTAATAAACCTCGAATTAGCAAAAACTCGGCTACGTGTAAGATTCGAATCTGCGACCTACAGAAATCAAGAAATTTTGAGTTTCACGCCCTATTCACTCAGCCACGCAAGCTTAACAACCGACAAACACTAGTCACGAATAAAGCAGCTACATATGCAAAATAAATTGCCAATGCGATTCTACAAAAGTGGCACCAAATACAAATCGCAACAATTTTGCAAGTAATAATTTGGAATACAACAAACTGAAGGCATCCATACTAACTTGCGTATAACAAATCGCGAAGCATAAAGCCACATTATGTATAAATCATGTATTTCAAAAAATTGCGAGATATATTGAATTACAAAATTTCTGAAATCGAGTTTTCATTATTGTTATGTTGTTTGAAACAAATAACTTTTTGTTATTTGATAAATTAAAAATGCATCAACTGTGTTAACTTAGGGTTAATACTATTCGAATGCCAAAACACATGCTATGAAAAATCTGTAAAGGTGCCCCAAAAGTGGCACCAACATTTGCGATTTAGGTTGAAGATAAAACAAAAATTACAGGTTCACTTCGTATTATCAATTTGGGGTAAACAGATTATTGTTTTGAGCTTAAAACTTTTTGAAATGCTTCATTGAGAAAAATCAACACAAGCGATATATCATTAACTAGAAGATTTTGGAGGCTCGTTTTTTCACAAGAATTCTGACTCCTATAGGGTTGTCAAGCAGCATTTAACCAATGGCTTCAATTTTTAAATAATAATAACCCAAAAATGTATCTCACCAATTCAGAATTTTGAATTAAATATGAGGCGTTAAATCATGATAAAAAATTAACTCCTTTCAATTCCCACCGGCAATATCTCCAAAACTAAGTTTTTTATACAACTTGCATGCTCTATACCGTATAGAGGTTTTTTCAATTTTCTTTTTGTTCCGAAAGCAAATTAACATTAGCCCTATTTGTGATTTAGGTGAATTTTGAAAAGTGAACATTTCGTTCAAAAAAGGTTAGCAATGTAGCTGTGTTTGTTCACACACTTGGCTACAAATTTCTGAAACTGTTAGACGTGGTATTCATAAAAAGTCTGTAGTTTATTGTTTATTTTTCAAAAACGTCATCACAGCAATCTTGCTGCTTTTTAGCAAATATATATTACAATTTTTGCAGCATGAAATTTGGGTTCAAAACGATGAAACTATAAGAGCAATCAAGTAGAACACCATATTGCAGAATAGAGGCAATATTAGTACAGAAGTACTCTAATAGTTGGCGATTGGTACAATGTCTTAAATTAAATACTACACCACATTGTTTTTCAAATCTTATTTTAACAAAATCATGTGCCTGATACACGATAGCTTCAGAAAAACACAGCCAAAAGACAAATGGAGAAGAGTCAATGAACGCAACTAAACAGTAAAAAAACCAACTTTCGAATTTCAAAGAAAAAAAACGGATCCCTCAAAGCTCTTTGAATTTCTAGAACAATTTTCGAGCAGTACTTTTTTAAAAATAAAATTGACCCAATTTGAAAAAACTGGCTCAACAAGTAAAAGTTTTATTTCGCTGGGAAATCTGCAAATTTAAAACCACTTTCGAAAATAGAAGTCGGACATGTTTTCATGACCTTTACACTTTTGCTCTTTGATTAGTGGAGTGAGCCTTCCTTTTAGCAAAGGAAATGAGCTGAAAGAGAAATCAAGTCAAACCGCGAAAAAGTAAATTTGACCCCGAATAAATTTTACAATTTATCCTTTAAAAAATGCTAAAAAAATTTTCGCGATCTATATCAGACTCTGAACTACGATCATCGACTCTTAAAAACGCCTAAAAACTTGCAGACAAGTTTAATAGTTATATTGTCCGATTTCAATTCAAAACAAATGAAATTATAATTAAGTGAATATATGTGACTTGCTCACTATGTAAAAATCTCTATATTGTTTCTTGGTAACCTGAACCTCGCCACGCTATCTTTAAATAGTGTCACTAACCTCTATCGCTAATGAGATTTACTATTCTTAAACAATCAGTAAATGGACCTCTCGATAAAAATTAAATTTGCGCTTGAGATCTGTCCAATTTTGTGTAATCGCATTCCAAATAATTGAAATGCTATCATTTTTGAAATCATTTGAAGTAAATATAATCACATTTGACAAGAAAGGCAAAGGACAAATTCCTTCCGTCATTTTTGTACCTTATTATTCGAGTTGCTAGCAAATTAGAGTTTTATTTAAATATAGTAATCTTCATATTAGTCGCTAAATAACGCTATACTACGCTTTCACCTACGCAATCGCCATCAAATCTCTGGTTCTGACCACATTTTTGCATTTAAACACAGAGTTCGACTAGGTCTAGGATTCGATCTGCCAACTACAGCAATCAAGAAATTTTGAGTTTCACGCCCTATTCACTCAGCCACGCACGCTCAATCACTGACAAACACTAGTCACGAATAAAGCAGCTACATGTGCTTCCAATGTAGCTGCTTCCAATGCGATTCAAAAAAACTTCCAATGCGATTCAACAAAAGTGGCACCAAATACAAATAGACACAATTTTGCAAGTAACAATTTGGAATAGAACAAAATGAAGGCATCCACACTAACTTTTCATGTAACAAATCGCAAAGCATCAAGCCACATTATGTATAAATTAAGCATTTCAAAAAATTGCGAGATATATTGAATTAGAAAGGGTGACTTGAAATATAGTTGAATCAGACTTAAGAATCTTTTTTCAACTCCCTAATTGTCTACTGTTGGCAAAGCGTTGATTCATCATAGGATAGGATAAGTGTCTAAATCCGCTATGTCTCTGCAAATACTGACCTTTCTCATGTGCTTTGTATTCAAACAGAACTTGTTCTGTGAATCGGAGGTCGATGGCTGCTATGTTTCCATTGGACTGTGCCGCATAGAGCTGATTGACAGATAAAGTACTCCACAAAATTGCTTCTATATTAGCAGAGAGCGTCCAGTTACAGGAAGCTTCTTGTGTACTCAGATCCAACAGAGTAACCTATAAACAGCATTTCAGTCATATTTTTAATGTTTTGAACCGGTGTCCGGTTGCAAGTTCACGGCATCATAGGCCAGCAACATGCATTTAAGACCAGCATACTAAAACCTATATTTGGTCAATTGAACTAGAACTAACTTTCTTGTCGAATCCGCCGGTGGCTAAAAGATAAGGCTCCACAGGGTGGAATGCGACAGATGAGACTTCTGCCTGGTGATGATTGAACACAGCCAGACAGTCTCCCTTCTCCAGGTCCCAGAATGCGACTGAGCTGTCCACACTGCCACTGGCCAGTCCCTTTCGGATGATGCTGTTCCAGGACAGAGAAGTCACAGCTGCCGAGTGGCCACTTAGCGTTTCCGCTATTCTGTTATTCTGCAAAATGCCTACACAAATTTGCACAAAAATATCGAACAAAATCATTTAACTTGTTTTTCTCAACACACCAGATTCTTAAATGAAGCAACTAACACTCTAATTGATTCTGTTTTCTGACAAGAAAAGCACTCCCAAGCCAACAGACAGTGAAATTCTTTGAGTTTTTAAAACCTTTAATCCTTGACAAATTTTCCTTAAAAGCCAATTTGAGAACTTTCTAATTTTTTTTATTGCGCCAGGAAACCTTAAAATTAAAAAACGATTTTAATGCTTTTTTTGAATGCGATTTTAAAACTTTCATTCATGCTTTTTTGCTCCATTTGCTTTCATGTTATTGAAGAGTGTAATTTATCTTCATCTGTCAGGTGAATAGGAAAAGAAATCGAAAGACCAGCTGGGAACATTTGAATTTGAGGATTAACAGCTTTTACCTGGAAAAAAGGAAAGCCATACTACCGAAATAAGTGTCTTCACTTCGTTCATTGACACTTAAAAAACCATACGTAAAAAAGTGAAATCTATTTCACTCCGTTCATTAACGTTTAACACAGAGGCTAAAAGTCGGTAAAACTAGATCGATCAAAATGAATAGGGCTATTTATGAAACAAAAAAGTCCAAAGAAAACAAACAAAGCGGTTACAAAGCCGAAAATACTTCAGCAGAAAATCTTTCAGCCGAAAAAAATCAAAAAGACTTATAAAGGGTCAATTTCCTCCTCAAAACTTATGAGCCCCCTTCTTAAAAACACAAAAAACATTAATTAATTGTTAAAAGGACATAGAGGCGAAGCTTCGCTTCGCAAAGATTTGCGAGAACACGACAAAAAGCAGCTCTATAAACTAGCAATAAAAAATTAGAAATAAGCCTCGAAGTGAAAAATCGGCTGCCTCTGAGATTCGAACCTGCGACCTAGAGAACAGATGCTATGCAATTTTCAATGCTACAGTGAAATTTCCAAATCAGTAAACACTTTTTTTGTGAGTTAGATTAGAAAAAAGAATGCTCGTAATAATACACTAAGCTGATCGCAAGTGTAAACAATAATAAGCCACTAAGCCGATATAATATAGGCGAAACCTATTAAGCCGAGAAAAAAAAGCTGGAAAATGAAAAAATTTAGGTCTTACAAAAAGTTAGTTAAGTCTCCCTCACCTTCAAAACACAGACACGCACACACAGACCTTTTTTCGGACGTTGAGAGACGCAATATGAGACCATTAAGCCGATATAAATAGGCCCCGAAACTTATCTAGCCTAAAAAACAAAAAGCTAAAAAAAAATCGTTCGTTGTAAAAAAATTGTTCGTTTAGTATTTTGTGCGATCCAGAGGTGAGATCATTTAGGGCAGAATGAATTTTTAAGCAAAAAAGACGAAAATACACGAAGTCAAGGCTAGTAAAACAATAGAAATAAATCAATCAAAACATTTCTTATGTTTTTTTTTAAAAACAGGTCCTTTCAGATTCGAACCAAGGACCTTTACCGTCCCAGGCGTATTCGTTACCTCCAGGCTAAGTATGATGGGAACACTACGAAACTTGATGAACATTATGAACTGAACTTAAATTTGACCATTCTGTTAACAAAGTTATTTATGGGAAAAAAGTCTAGTACCCGATTGCAAAACCCTTGCTTATCGCAAGGGTAATGATTCAAAGAAAAAATAGTCTATTAGGCTAGTTATTTATAGATGGTATTTGATAAAACAGTACTTTTTCTCTTGTGGAAACGGTTTATAAAGTAGGTACCACGAGGATAACGTCAAAATCACCGACATTTGAATTTTTCTGTACAAAAATAGTTCGGTCTCTAGGCTGCTTCTACAACAACTGAACAAATCGATCTCTACCTCTGGGAGCGCCCAGTTTGAACTGAGGCTGGATGGGTCCGATCTGGTCCACAGGCCATATCTCAATCTCACTCTTCACACTTCCCACTGCCACCATGTTTCCCTTTTTAGAGGGAGCCTGTCCGTTGTAGTCCAGCCACTCCAGGGCGAGGGGGAAGGCGGGCAGGAAGTAGTCGTGGTGAACAAACAACTCCTCCTCTTGTCTGTTGTAGAGGTAGATGTCAAGCCCACACACGTCACCTTCGCTCTCCACCTAAACAAATAAAGACACGGACAAAAAGTAGGAACCAGTCAGTTTCCAATACAAACGAAGACAGTGGTCACCCGCAAATTAAAAAAAGTTTCGGTGTGGATATAGAAAATGGTTCCACTATCAGAGGAGAAACTTAGCAGCAGTTTTGTTTTCGATTAAAAAAAAAAAAACTGCAATTTTTCCTGAAATGTGACAAATAACGCCACTCGGTAAAAAACACAATCTTCACACACCTTGCCAGTGATGAGCAAGTTATCCTGCTCGTTCAAATCCAACTCCTCCTCGTCCGAATTTGGATCAGTGGCCACGTCCAAATTGAGAAACTCGTCTTGTTCTACAACCGCAGTGCTGTAAAATTTATTGATGGATGATACAATGCTTGCAAACTGGTCAGGAGACGTTTCCACAAAACTACTCAAATCAGCAGACACTTGCTGCTCCTGCTCATTGTCTGAGCGGTCACTCACTATCTCCCCCTCGTCCATACCTGCCGGAAGCGGAAAAGCATGTCGGGTGGGGGCTGGGTCCAGTGGATCATATGTTGCCAGAACTGAAGAGGACCTAACAGTGTTGGCCTTTTCAGATTTGGGTTCTTTTTTAACCTCTTTCGAGCTCGTCTTAGTTTCACTTTTAACATCTTTCGAACCCGTCTTAGATTCATTTTTTACGTCTTTTGAACCTGTCTTAGACTTCCCTTTCTCAGACTCTTTAGTAACAGGAGAGCCTTTTCGTTTTTCCTTTTCTTTCTTGTCCTTTCTCTTTTCCTTTTTATGTTTTTTGGACTTATGCTTCTTTTCTTTCTCCGCTTTCGGCGACTTTGAAGCACGCGCATCATCAACAACTTTAACTTCTTTTTGGATCGTATCTTGACCGACGTTTGCATGCATTGCATCATCACATGGTTCTTTCGAGGTGCCAATGTGAGGCTCCGAATTATCTTCAAGTAGCTCTTCAGAAGGAATAGGTACCTCGTTGGTAGTCACGTCATCATTATCAGCCTTCTCTTCATTCTTAGTAGCAGCAGTAACTGAGAGCGTAGAAACATCTGCATCGTTATGACCATTTATCTTACCTGTAGCACCTTCAGAAACATCATCATTGCTCAATTTATTGCAACTGTTCGAGTCACCGTTCTCTGCAGTTTCGTTTTCTTCTGATTCCAATAGCTCTTCTTTAACTTCTATCGAGGGCGATTTTTCTCTAGCACCTTCGAGTTCATCGGCATCACCTAATCTCGAGTAAAATATTGACCATTTCAGTTGAGAAAATAATTTTTATATAATTTGAAGTTCTTATTTAAATGGTCAATACTTTCAAATGGCGCACATCGCATTTTCAAAGGAAACAATCATTTTGATTTTGAATATTCCAGTCTTTCAAATTGAGTTAAATTATATCCTTTTTCAAAAACATGTCAACTTCTTAGTGAGTTCGACTCAAAACTTAGATAGGATCACTTGATCAAACATTCCAAAAAAATTTATCTTGCTTTTTAATTTTTTTTGTTTGAAAAGCCGAATATATTCTGTGATGCACGCCGAAGGAATAGTTGGTCATTTTACATTAGCTCATATGAAGATTGATCAAAGCAAACCCTCTTCGCTCAATTTTTGTCTCTTTGGTTTAGTAGAGTAGTCAGTAACAACCAGTATCGACTGCATAGACTTCTGAGTTTTACTCCTCACATAAAGTTCTGTCTTATCCGCTTCCGAATCACTTTCGAGTTTTTTCTTGATTTTCGGCTTAATCTCTAATTGTTCTTTGCGTTCGTCGGCTTCGAACGTGATCTTCGCGGTGTTAATATTTTTGGCGATCGACTTCAAAAACTTCTGCAGTTCTGGTCTTGTGTCAATTGTAACATGAACTGGTTCCGGTTTCAGCCAGCTCTGGGCATAAATATTTCCAAGCAGTCTTGAAAATTCTTCACTGGTAAAATCATGAACTGAAGTTTCTTGTTTGGATATACCTTTCGGTACGAATTTACAACACGTTACAAAATTTGTCATTTTCCGTATTCTTTTTCTGCATTAATCTGAAAAAATACTAAATTTGCCAATTTCTCATTGTGCTCAAAAATAAAAATAAACATAATATGAATAATCGACATTGAATTGATTTAATCATCATTCTATAGATTTTTCCTTAGTAGAAAAGTATTACCTTGTGGTATAAAATTATTACCTTGCAAGTTTACTTTGGTTCATCACTACGTATGAAGTTTTATTTGTGGTGCGTACTTTTTACTAAGAAGAATTATTTAGATCTAACCTCTCAAAAATAACTCGGAAAGCTTCTAGAAGCAATCTTTTTATCATGTATTTTGCGTCAAAAATAACTCGGAAAACTTGCAGAAGCAATCTTTTTATCATGTATTTTGCATTTCTTAATGTTTTGTTCAGTTGTGAAATAAGTACCAGGTGCTCGGTTTTTATAGGTATATTCACGATTGATTTTTTGCCTGGTCGTTCAAACTTTGATGATGGGTGACTACGTAGTCAATTAGGGCTTTCGAGTGGATAGGAACTGTTTTATTCGAGCTTGAAATCGAGCTTATAGTGTGTAAATTTTTTTACCAACAATCTCTTGCTCGTCGATATTTAGATAATTTAGGTTATAGACTTCTTTAGTATTCTAGAAGACTTAATATTGTGTATATAAATCGATTGAATATGCACACAGTTCTTTTTATAGAATCAATATTCTTTACTTTGCTGAGATAATGCAACAAACTTTATAGAAAACTTTTCAGTTCTATTAGACGTAGCTTTGAATTCAACCTACGCGCTGTCAAAATTTTTACGCAACGTACTTACACCTTGACATATCCTCGGGTCGAAAATTTCTATAACTAAACAGCCTCAACAACTGGCTTAAGATCAGAAATCTATCTCTATCAAAAGACAAATCACATCTAACTTTTCAACATGAACTAATGAGTTTTACCTTGAACCAAAAAAACCAACCCAAAAAATTTAGGCGTTAGTTGTGAAAACCAGCTGAACTTTCATCAAAATTGCAAAAACAACCTACGACAAATTCCAGAAAAAAAAATACTCTCATAAACTTGCTGGCCTAACCTGGGCTTGCTCCAAAGAAGCACGTAACAAAACCTGCAAGGCAATTGGGAAGAGTGTCTTGAACTATGCAGCTCCCATTTTGACCCCTGCCCTAAATTGCATCAACTGGCAGCGCCTTCAGGTGAAACAGAAAAATGCACTAAGAACTACAACAGGGTGCTGACGAATGAGTGGCGTCCAAATTGCATCAACTGCCAGCGTCTTTAGGTGAAACAGAAAAATGCACTAAGAACCACAACAGGGCGCTGACGAGTGAGTGGCGTCACACATCTGCAGCACAAAAAAAACTTCCGGTCCGAAAACACAATCATGCTCTCAAAGCAGTTTCTGCTCGGCTGCTACAAAGATCAAACTATCATACTATCAACTACACAAGTTTCAAGAGGAAAATCAGATCCACACTCGAACATCAAGCTTCTCTAAGCATGATTATATTAGGAATATTACAACTTCACACATCAGAAGTTTCTTAACAAACAATCTAATCTACTTGGCAAAAAACACTACTATTATCAGCAAACGAAAGTAATTTCGACCGGAACACCAGATATACACTATCACAAATTAGATCCGGTTTCTCGATTTATATAAATAGTTACCATCTTAGACTAACCAACAAAGTACCCAAACTTTGGTGCCCGAGTTGTTACATAGGACCACACACCAACGAACATCTCTTCAATTGCCGGGTACACCTTACTTCCCTTACCAACGAGATCTTGTGGGAGTATCCCGAAGAAGCTGCCAAACATACCTCACATATCAGGAGTTTTTCTCGGTTCTCCCCAGTAAGTAAAACTGCCAGCTTCAGCCGAGCATGGACTTTAACTCAGTTCTTCTCACGCCAAAAAATCTGGCACATCAAACCTCACTCTTGGGCGTGCTACAAAGAGAGGAGGCGTCGACTGCAGACTTTGGTCGGGTGGTTCCCCGTATACATCGATTTTGCCCCTACATACCCGGGGGAACTGCAATGATAGATAGACAAGACGAATTTTGGTTATGAGCATCAATTTCCTAACTCTCACTCTCTCTTTATCTCTCAAACATAATTGATCTCTCCAATTCAATCAGAAATTCGGGCACAGATAGATGCAGCTATAACAATAATACAATCAAATCGTTCGTTGACACTTTAAATTTTCAAAATGGAAACTACTTAAGGTGCAAGGATGTGGAGGGCTTTTTCAGAAGCTCAGGTAAAATGTTAATTGGAAAATTTGTACCATCATTCTTCTGTGGCCATTTTATTGTATCTAAAAATGCTCATAACCAACCATGATAACAAAACGCACGCCTTCGGAAGGAGATCCTGTTTATGAGACATACTATATGCAAGTCTATAAATAACTGCACCTTAAAATACAATACCACAAACAAAAAACATAGCTAGCAGACAGTTGGAGAAGAGTCAATGAATGCAAGGAAACATAAAGTTAATTAACTAGTTATTCGAAAAAAAAGAACATCATTGTCGAATTTCAAAGAAAAATTTGCTGGCCTCAAAGCTCCATGAACCAATTTACAATTTTTAATGTTAAACAAGTTGTTAACCCGAAAAAGTCGTTATTCCAGTTTGATAACGCTTGCTAATCACAAGCGTAATTAAAACTTAATGATTCGAAGAAAAATGGTCTTTTAGCTTAGTAATTGTGGAGAAACATACAAATATGGAGGAACCTTGTATTCGGGTATTTCTTTTGTTTTCCACGCAAAAACCAAGTGCCGCAAATAATTAGCGGAATGGATCGAATGATATATCATACTAAAGACCTTTTGATCGTGATTCAAACATTAAAAATTTTCAAAACGCAAGGAGCCAGAAAGTTAATTGACTAGTTTTTCAAAAAAAAACCAATCATTGTCGAATTTCAAAAAAAATATTCTCGCCTCAACGCTCTTGAAACTTCAAAAACAATTTGTTCGTGACACTTTTTTGATTTCAAATAGTTCATTCTGAGATAACTGGGTCAGCAGGTAAATTTTTTTACCTGCTGGGAAATCTGATAATTGAAATCCCTTTTCGAAATTAGTAGTCAATCATGTTTTTCGTCACCTTTATGCTTTAGCTGACGATTGTGGAGTTTGCCTTCCTTTTCACAAAAGAAACTGAAAAAATCAAACGTCTAAAAATCAAATTTGAGCCTAAAAAAAACTTTTCCTGAGAAAAAAGTCATTACGACCAACATAAAAGTATTCACTACGTTCAACGAGTCATTTTAATTTGATTTTATTTATCTGCTTCTTGCTTTTAACGTGCTCGAGGTATATTTTAACCACGCTTGAGGTATGTATCTACGATATCGACGTACACTTCGAGTTTGTGCTCTGACACAGATCAATAGTCGAACACTTTAAAAGTCGAAAGATAAAGTTAGCACCTTGACTTGGAGAAATCTACAACTGATTTGCTTATAAACTAAATCATATGCAGCTACGCATTAAAAACTGCTTAAGAAAATCTACTAAACGCAATGTGATTATTTTCAATTAAAAGGTTGAAAAGGTCCCTATAAATGATTTCCCTTTCGCTAGAAGTCGGAACAGAAAAATGAAAAATTTTACACTAAATGGAGAAACTAAAACTAGTTTTTTACTTATAGGAGAAATAGATATTGTAATCAAACATTGTAATCTGATTCAAGTTGTTTCATTATTAGCTCTTCCGTTCGCTTGTGGACCATTCTCTGTGGCTCTATTTGCGCGACCCAATGTCGACCCGGTTGCATGATAAGATGCCTCGTCCGAAAAAGGATAGAGGGTGTAACAGTTCCAGTCGATGATGTGAACTCCGAAGAGGTAATGAGATAGCTTACGTAGAGCGTCCTTCTGTAGTGTGCAGTCAATTATCTGCACTGTGACCTGAAAGAAATGTATTAGAAATTAACACATACAAAGCTGTTGGTCGCTTTGCAAGCAAAAACTTAAAACAACAACAGTAACCGATTATTATCGGTAGAACAAAATAAATTTTCTTTTTTAATATTCTGCAACAGTGCTTTGCTTTCGAACTTTTGGATTTTAGTTTGACCTTATCAGAACGACAGTTATTCTTATTACGAGGAAAACAATATTGCTTCAAACAATACCTTAAAGCCGAAGGGTAAGTGAGCCAACATTACTCGGGTATTCACACACAGTTGAGCCGGAAAAAAAATACGTCATAAAAAATTGAGAGCTGAGAAAATAGCAAACATGCGCAATTTAAATCTCTTTTTATTAAATCTCGCAAATTAATTATCTCTTTTGATCCTTCAATCGGTGAAACGAGGCAACCAAGCAGACAAAAAATCAGCTAAATAATTTTTTTCAGCAAAAATTACAATGAAAAACTTGCAAAAAGGTCTGATTCGAACTATCAACATATTGGGAATAATTCCAACACTTTACTTCTGCTTAACTAAGCACACAAGAAAAGGAAGTCATATTTGCGGAAAATACGTCCAGAACACAATCGATGACGTTTCATGAAAAATCAAAAAATTTCAAGTCGCAACTGAGCCGATGAAACAACTGAGCCGTAGAACTGAAATTATTGTAGCGAAAATTTTCAACTACAAATTCTATTTTAAGAATTTCAGATTTTAAGCGATCCGGAGGGAAGCAAAAAAATATGTTTGCCATGAAACGACTCAAAATCAGGTCATTAAGCCGGTGTAAAAAATAACCCTCAATCAATTGGGACTATCAATTGTGCCTATTTAAGTCTTAAAATGAAAATTTAAGTTTAATCCTGAAAATGGAAAATATACGTCAAGGTAAGTAAAATTACAAATTGCAGGAGTAAATCAAAACACTAAAAGCAATTGCAATGAAAATTGCATGCAGCAAAAAATCGAAGATGTGGCAACCAGTGAATTGACCGCTTATGGGAAAGCCGCTTTTCGCCGCTTCCGCTTTTTTCGAAGCCGCTTTTCGTTTTTACCGCTTTTCTAAATTATAGATCTCCGCTTTTTAAGAAAACAAACAAGGAAATATTAATTGAATTAAATCAATTGGTTAAAAGTACAGAAGATTCTCGAGAACTTTTGCGCCCAAGGGACTACTTTTTTTTGAGAGAATGTTTCCGCTGGCAGAAAAAAGTCTCTCGACAGTACCTGTGTCAGGGCTCACAGAAAGGGCGTTGAAAACAAAGTTATGTATGCTTTCTGGATAAGTCAGCCAAAAATGAAGTGGGTTGTTGATTTTGACAATGGGCGAGAATAAGTAACTCGACAAGCGCTCTGCAACATTTTTATGTGTGAATATTCGCTTTTCTGAAAATGAGTCGCGCTTTTCTGCCGCTTTTACAAAAATCATTCCTCTTTCACCGCTTTCGCTAATTTCAACTGGTTTACCGCTTTTTCCGGCCGCTTCCGCTTAAAGCGGTCAATTCACTGGTGGCAACTAAGCCAGCCAACATTAGCAGGCAACTAAAGGCAGACAATTTTGAAAAAGAATGTTTCCCGTTTGGAAACATAAACGGGTCCTGGTCAGATTCTAACTCACTTTGCTTTCCCAGCGCTATCGTTACCTCCAAACCAAGCTTGCTGGAGAAGATGATAAACAATTTGAATTCATTATGAACGATGAATCTAAGTAATTCTGTTAAACAAGTTGTGAACCCGAACAAAATCTATATTCTGATTTGATAACGCTTGCGATTGATCGCAAGTGTTACAAGAAAAAGTCTAAAAGCCTGCAGCCGTGCTAGGTAAATAAGACATTAAAACATTAAGGCGAATGACATTAAGATAAAAAATGAGAGTAAAAACAACGAACTGTTCAAATTTAAGCGAACTCTATTGAAGAGTTTGTGTGTAGCGTCGTCTTAAGGTCCCACAAAAAGAATTCATCGCTTTAACAGCTGCTGTATTATTTTTCGGACATCCCGGCAGCAAAACCCTTTAGTAATAAAGAACTAGAAATAAAATCTTTCGAGTAACAGAATATTTACTTTACCTGCCATTGATCTTCCCAGTTTTGATGAACTGCTGCACAAGCTTTGCTTGAGGCAAGCCCAAAAAACTTTTCGATCATTTCCACCAATTTGCTTTCATCTCCAATTTGAGAATTACCATGAAAATATTTCTTTATCCAGAACTGTACAACTTTGATATTAGCGAAAGATGGGTTCGCAACTTCTAAAGGGATTGGAACTTCCGCAAGAATTGAGGATCGTCTCAAAGAATTCAGATCGTTTCCAGAAGTTGATCGCGATAGAGAAAGAATATTCAGAAGCGGTTCAACCGCATAAAACTCCGCCTCAGACAGAAGGTAGTCCAACGACATGTGTTCATCTAAGTATAGCTTGCCTGTACGTAGGAAAGAGAGGATTTTCTCGAAAGGGGCTGGGTCCCTGTCAATGAAATAGCTGCCGGCCGTATCTTTTGGCCACAGAAAAGACCCATCTGCTTCTTTTTCCAAAAGCTTTGTCAGCACACTGTTGGCACCCGATTTTCGTAGAGTTGTCGAAGATGTGCTGAATGTTTTACCACCAACATTAAGCGAAACAATACTCATTTTAAAAGAACATTTACACCTTAAAAAATTTAAGCCAGAATGATAAACACCGAGGCGAAGCTTCGCATCATATGCGATACAACTTTGACATCGCAGCAGCAAAACGTCGATAACTTCCGAATCCGACAGCTTGTCAATAACTTCAGAAAAAAAAATTGAAAAAGTTGCATGTGCAATATGGGCGTTATCTTCTACAAAATTGTATTACCATGCCGAATTTCCTTTTATTTTTTTTGCAAAAGTGGTTGTTTTGCAGTTCTTGTTTTTTGCAAAGTGATTTTTGGGAATAGTGCGATCGAATTTTCAGAAACTCATTTCAGAAATTCGATTGTAAAATTGAATGATACCCAATTTTTGTAAGCATTTCTACTGGCAGCCAAAAACCACTTGGTGTTTCGTCCGCTCTCCTACAAGCTTTACATGCTTATTTAGTGTCAGCTGTAGGAGCGAAAGAAGTTACCTCAAGCCATATTTCTATTTTGGAGCACGAGAATGGAAGGATGAAACATCCTATCCCTCTCCCCGGACAAAAATATCCATTGATTTTCCCGTCGATCACATACATGATATTAAGTTAAGCTGGGATGCAGGATCCCATAATGGCCCTTCCTGGGCTGCCCAAAAAGGATCACGTTAGTCATTTTTGATGTAATTCAAGCTTTGGCGGTCCACGTCCTGAATCCTTAAACTGGTTTTCCTGGTGTCTGACGTCATTCCTTTAACCACTCCATGTGCCAGTCGATAATATTGGGAAGTTTGACCTTGAGTTGAATGTTTAACCTTGATTTTTGGAGACGAAAGTAACTTTTTAAAATTTCGAATTGAACCTATCATGCTCAAGTTTCTCGCGACAACTAAAAATACGAAAAAAGGTCAGAGAGAAGATTCGAGTTATAATCGCGGGAAAGTTGCTGGAAAAAACGAGTAAAATAGCTAATCGCAAGTTTACCAGAATTATGCAAAACGAGTAGAGCTATCGTGTTTTCGATAGGAAATCAAGAATTCAAGAAGAGCGATAAAGAAGAACAATCAATTGGACCATAGTTATACTTGAATGCAGCTGCCCAATGGTCCGGAGGGAAAAACTTCTTGAGTTTAACTTATTTCTTCAAAACTTCTTGAGTTAAACTTAATTACCTTAAATCAGTTCTAGAGTTGCTTTACCATTATTAGTTATTGAATTCTAGAAGTCGTGTCGGTAGGTGAGTATCTAGTTCAAATTTCTTGAGTGTATTTTACGTGATGATGTTGAGTTACGGCGAGTTTTTAGGTTGATCCATCTGAAATGGATCAAAGTTCCATTGTCCAATAAAAACTAACCGTATACTTAAGTTTTCGACTCTGTTTTTAAAGGCGTTCGAGTGTTTTAGGTATTTCGAGACTTGACCATGGGGGCGTTCTTATTTGTGCCAGTCGGTCATATCTGGAAGTTTGACCTTGAGGGACACAAAAATACGTGATTTTCGAGTGAAGTTTTATTTTTCAAAGTTTCGAATGGAGCCTGTCATGCTCAGTTTTCTCGCAACAACTGAAAACAAAAAGTGAAAAAGGAGAACGACCGAATTTACAATTGCGGGAAAATACTTAAGAAAACAGCAGGAAATTGCTATTCGCAATTTTCAGATACAAAGTAAGACACGAGTAGAGCCGTCTTATCCTGAAATAGGAGGCGAGATAATCACGAGAGAAGAGAGCAATTATTCAAACTGAACCAGAGTGAACCTTCAACGGAAAGGTGGACAGCTGGAGTGTCCCAATGGTTCAGACTAAAACTTCAATTCTGGAGTCTAAACTTATTTCTGTTATTAAAAGTGATTAGTATTGAACTTATCAAGTTATCTTATTTAATTCTCGAGTTGCTCATTAATTTAATTACTCCTTATCCTCGAGTGCGTCAACATGTGAGTTCCTAATTTAACTTTCTCGAGTGTGTTTTATGATTGTTATGTTGAGATAAGGCGAGTTTTAGATTGATCCATCTGAAATGGATCAAAGTTCCACTGTCCAATAAAAAGTAACTTAACGGATTGTTCCGACCCTGTTTTTAACGGCGTTCGTGTATTTTGGGTATTTTGAGACCTAAGTATGGGAACGTTCTTATTTTCTAGAGTGGGGGGATATTTTGGTAGTAGCCTTTAAGCTGTAACGGGTTCTAGTCTCATGTCGCAAGCTAACCGAATTGGCTCCGACCGTTCTTGAGGTAGAAAAACACAAGAGATAGTGTCCCTGACTCTTGAGCCAATGATTATAGGGCCTATTTTTCTTAAGCCTCATATGTGACCGAAGTAGGCGACTGTTACATAGTGTTTTTATGGCGCTCCTGGGTGTTTTTACGACATCATGACTACGGAGTCGAACCCACTTGACACAGCTCCGGGCTGCATGCCCATTCTAGAGTACCGGTGGTACGGTTCAGCGGGAACGTGTAAACCTTCCGGTTGTACCGTGATAGCTTTTGAAGAAAACTTGAGAAAACTTCCTGGTACGCTCCCCGAACGAGGCCTAGCTAACCGAGTAAGGGGGGGGGGGGGTAACTAGGGGGACAAAAACACCAGCAAAAAGACAAAAAACGAAACAAAAACAAGAAAAAAGTACAGAAAAAGGAACAAAAACCATAAAACAAAAAGACAGTGACTTTGATACCGGATCATTTGGATCAAACCTTTATATTAATTAAATAGTATACCCATACTGTTTTATACGACCGATCGTTTCGATCAATCTAGCAATTTAAACCAGTGACTTGGGGGGCGTTGTTAAGGGTTTTCAGATAGATTGCAACCTAGCCGGACCACTAGGAGACTTGACTGGAAAGGGTGACCAGCCGAGTGGGAAAGTGGTTCACAAGGATCGAACCGGACCACTAGGAGACTTGACTGGAAGAGGTGACCAGCCGAGTGGGAAGGTGGTTCACAAGGATCGAACCAGACCACTAGGAGACTTGACTGGAAGAGGTGACCAGCCGAGTGGGAAAGTGGTTCAGAAGGACTGAGCTGAACCGACTGGAAACTTGACTGGAAGAGGTGACCAGCCAAGTGGGAAGGTGGTGCTGCTGTCAAGTGCAGAACGGAGACAACCAGCACGGGATCACTACAAGAGGACGCACAGGGGTGTTCTCAAGTTGGGCAAACGGGTATCGTTAGAATCCACATTACATTATAGGAGATAAGTGTAAAATTGGATAAGTGGAGCCCCATTGTTTTGAGGAAGTTTTTACACAAACAGGCCTGGAAACAGGTCTACGGTTTTCTCTCGAGAGGTTTAGCCCCCGGCGCTTAAGGGATTTTTCGGCTTAAGAGGGGGGCTAAAGAGGGGGGAGGTTAGAAGGGGGGCTGGTTAGGTTAGAGGTTAGCGGTTGTAAAGTGTAAAAAAGGGGGACATATTAGAGTAACTAATTGTTCGGCATAGTCGATTTAGTTACATTAGATACTTACACGCGTTGGTTATAAGAAGCGGATATCCAAATTTAAAATCAGGTTAAGGTAGGTACCCTGGTCGGATCGGTAGGGGGGAACGGACATAGACAGTTTTTGTGATACCCCATAAGATCGCTAGCAGGGGGGAGGAAAACGCGTGGCAATCGGGTACCAGAAATTTTTTCGGACAAAGATTGACATGGGTTCAAATTTCGGACAAATTTTAGGAGATTTCATCTCTCTGTTTTTGAAATTTTTCCAGTTTAAATTTTTACGTTTTGGTGAAAATTTGTTGTTGGTATTTGAACGAACAGGTGATCACAAGATACCTGCGAGGAAGGTAGGGTTTCAAATAGCCTGAAACAACGAGAGGGAGACAAATACTGGGGGATTAGTATTTGGGTTTTGGCCATTAAGATAGGGATTTTGGGAAAATTTTTACTAGAGCTCAAGTAGTGGCAAAAGGTACAGTGGTTCAAGAGTCCCTACAACGAAGAAGAAGAGATCCGATATCCAGACACTCAGTGACAAGTCTTGGGACAGTACCGAAGAAGTCTTGGGACATTGCAGTCTGGGGACAGTCTTGGAGCAACACGGTCTTGGGACAGTCTCGGGACAGAGCAGTCTTGGGACAGTCTTGGAACAGTGCAGTCTTGACACAGTCTTGGACCAGAGCAGTCTTGGTACGAAACAGTCTTGGGACAGTGGTCTTGGGACACTAGTCTTGGGACAGTAGTCTTGGGACAGTGGTCTTGGGACACTAGTCTTGGGACAGTGGTCTTGGGACAGTGGTCTTGGGACATTGGTCTTGGGACATTGGTCTTGGGACATTGGTCTTGGGACATTGGTCTTGGGACATTGGTCTTGGGACAGTGGTCTTGGGACAGTGGTCTTGGGACATTGGTCTTGGGACAGTGGTCTTGGGACAGTAGTCTTGGGACACTAGTCTTGGGACAGTAGTCTTGGGACAGTAGTCTTGGGACACTAGTCTTGGAACAGTAGTCTTGGGACAGTAGTCTTGGGACAGTAGTCTTGGGACAGTAGTCTTGGGACAGTAGTCTTGGGACAGTAGTCTTGGGACAGTAGTCTTAGGGCAAGGGTCTTGGGACAGTGGTCTTGGGACACTAACAAGAAGTACTGGGACAACACTGAATAGTCTTGGGACAGCATAAAGAAGGGGGGTACTAAAAGAGTACTAAGTCAGGTTGAAGTAACCAATTGCAAAATCAAATTTTCTATCCAATCCTAACATATAGAATTTTCAAAAGCTCAGGAAAAGTTGTTTTTAGCAAATTGTAAATTTATTTTTATAAAATTTTGTCAAAAGAAGTTTTAACCTTAGAGTAGAATTTTGTAGATAGTAATACTGTAAATAGGAACAATTGTAAATTACGAGGTGGAGCAGGGTACCGGTAGCTGAAAAAAGATCTACCGAGGCGAAGACAAAGTATAATTCGTCGCTACGTAAAACAACATCAATGGGTCCGAAAGTGACAAAGAAGAACTTTTCAGTTAGTATGGTCAACACGAGGAGTACTACGGAGAACAGAGCAAAAGAGGGCACGGAAGGGGAACGAGTAGAAC